TAAATGTTAGTAAAAATTTCTTCCACAAAACTATTGCTAAAAATAATAATATTATCTATATATCTACGATAAAAAATGTTATTAAAAAGTCTATTATTTATGGCTACAAGTTCATGAGCAAAACATGTAAGTTGTGCTATATGAACTGCAGTGTTAGTCCCCATAGCTATTCCTCTTTTTTGTTTATAGATTTTTCCTAAAGCTTTAAAATAATTATTATCTATTACTAAAGCAAGAATAAATCTAATTTTTGGTTTATTAAAACCAAAATAACTTTTTATTGGAATAGTATGATTATTTAAATAATCAAAAGCAGACAAGATTTCCGGGTGAGTAAATTTTGTATAAAGAAATTCAAAGTTACCTGTAACAACGTAATTAAATTGGTTTTTAATTTTTTCAACTTGGTAAATAAGTTGAAAATTATCTCGAAGAGGGATCCAATTTACATTAAAATATTGTTCGAGGGAAGTCATCCAGTCTTTTAAAATGACCAAGAGAAAAACTGATAATCTTTTTATAGGTGCAGAATACATGCCTACAATAGGTCTCTATTTTAAAGGCGTTTTATGTACCTTAGGTAAAATATGGAAGAAAGGGAGTTGTAGATTATCCTCCGAAGGAATAAAGTAGTTTTGGTGTTTATTTGACATGGGCAAGTCAAATATTTTTCATTGAATTAGCAAGATATATGCTTTTTCAGTTAAATTTATTTCTTCGTAGTCTTCTATAGAAAGAAGTTTTTTTAGAGCCATTATATATTTGTTATATGGGATAATACCAGCCCAAGATTTTTATCTGTTTGAGAAATAACGATATTAGAGTTATTTGCTAGATTTCTTAAGGCTTTTTTCTCTCTTAATATCAAATTATATCGACAGGTAGGGATTAATGAACAGCAAAGTTTTTCCTTTAGTTTATTAATAAATACTAAGGTGGATGGATAGAGTTTCAGTATATAATCCGGATTGGGTATTCTAACTGATTTTTTAGAGCCGCCTCCTCCAAACTCAAAGAATAAGTTAAAGCGTCTCTCTAAATAGGTTAGTGATTCAGTTAGGTAGGGTTGGTCCATGTCCGTTAGGCCTTTACGTTGGGTTGGGGTTGAGGTTGGTATGAACTTATGTTTATAGTTTAAGATATGATATTGTGTCGTTGTGATCGTGATTTTCCACAGGTTGTGAAAGCTTGGTGAGATGTATTGTTTCGCGATCTCAATTGGCCTTTCAAAGATGTCTTGAATGTTTTCGACCTGGAGTGTGAGGTCGACTTCGAATTGGAGAAGGTCTTTTTCTTCTTTTGATTGTTTGGCCATGTGGAGGGCATGGCTTTTTGAAAATCCTTTTTCTTGTTTTTATTATTATTATTTTTTCTTGGTTTAGATTTTGATCTAGATTGTGACCTAGACTTAGATTTGGGAGCTAATTTATTTAAATCTTCGTAACTGTTAATATTTAGTTTTTTAAGTTGTGCTGTAACAGAAGCACTTATTCTTTCATTAACAATGTTACTAAGAATTTTACTCATTGGTTCATGTTGCTTTTTAATTTTTCTTCTTCTTTTTTAAGTTCTTTTTCAAGTGTATTACCTAGAACAACAAGTCCCTCAACATATAAGTCAACAAATTTAGCTTCAGCAGATTTAAAGTGAAAAGAAGGGTTATGTTTAAGATTTAAAGTCCCAAACATACTCTTATAACTTTCGCTGATATTATTAACAAATTCGTCTAATTTTTTATTATGTAACTTTGTACGTTCATCTAAAGATAACTCTAATTGTTCATAATATTTTTGACTTATCTCTTTTGATTTTTCTTTTGCTTCTTCAGAATAATCAATTTTTTCATTGTTGGGAAACTACCGTTGCAAATTTCCTTCTCTACAACTTCAACAACATATCTACCATTTGATCTATACAAAATAAAATATTATTATTCATATAATGCATATATAAACATTTATAAGTTTACCAATTTTACCTTGGTACCACTTTACATGAAACTATAGAATAAAATTTTGTTTTAATTACAATAAAATTTCAAATAATAAAACAAAATATTATTACCTGGATATTGACGGTATCTAATCTGAGATAGTAATTTAATATCTAAAATTTAATAAATTAAATAAAATTATTAATTAACAAATAATTTAATCGCAGCATTTTTAATCTTACCATTCTTAATTTTTTCAGGAGGCAAATACCAAGTCCAATTTTTGGCAACAAGATTTCGTGAAAATAAAAGTGGGTTATCTCTAAAAAAAAAAAAGAAAAGAAAGAAATCAATATTTAATAAATACTGCCAATATAACATTAAAGTAAAATAAATAATCATAATAATCTTTACGATCCAGGAACAACAATTAAAGTATTATCTTTAGTATTACGATTCAGAACAAACCACCTATAAAACAGTCAATGTTTAACAAATAATTAAAATTGCAAAATAAGCATAATTAAAATGTATACTTATTCGTGCCATAATTTATATGAGCGCATTGACCAATAGTATATGCAAATAGTCCACAGTGCTGGCCTTTTG